TCTGGTTAGTAGCACAGTTTTCAGACTTGATTTTCCTAATGATGTCTTGAACTGTGTAACCACTGCCTTTTAAAATCCACGGAAGCTCAGTATAATGAATTTTCCAAATCCCTGAGCAAACAGGGGCCATTTCCCCATTTAGCCTAAGGAAGCAGGACTGTGGGTAATTAACACTCAGTAGAGGGCATTTGGGTACAGTGTCTGAAGTACCTTTGACCCACCATCTGCAGTGAGTGGCCATCTGCAGCAGAGCTCATTTGAGTCTCAGGCCAAGTCCTAGCTCTGCCATCCGTAGGGGCAAGTTACCTAGGGCTCGTCTGTAGGATTAGCTTTTCTTTTTATTATGCTGTGCCTTTCTCACATGTATGTGATGTGTTTGTTTGTGTGTGTGTGCGCATGCGTGTGAGTAAATAGTGTCTCTGTAAATCTGTGGTGCCCATGTATGTGTGTTGTAATGTGTGTTGTATCTCTCTGTGTGGTACATATTTGTTTCTGTGTATGGTGTATATGTGGCATATGTGTCTGTATTTCAATCTCTGTGTGTGTGTGTGTGAAAGATAGGCAGGGAAGGTGAGAGAGAGAGAGAGAGAGAGAGAGAGAGAGAGAGAGAGTTTGTAGTGAGACAGGGGGCCTTTTTTTTTTTTTTTTTTTTCAAGACAGCTTTCTCTGTGTAACAGCCCTGGCTGTCCTGGACCCACTTTGTAGACCAGGCTGGCCTTTGCTGGTATTAAGGTTTAAAGGCATGGACTAAGGGTTGGGAGCAGGGCTTGTAGGCAGTGCCATGCCCTTCTGTTTCAGTTGCTGCTTGTATCTAGAATATTGAAGCTAGCTGTTGAATATTGAAGCTAGCTGTTGAGAAAGTCCAGTTCTGAGCTGGGCATGGTGGCCACGGCTGTAATCTCAGCACTCAGGAGGCAGAGTCAGAGCATCGGGAGGTTAACCTAGCTCATTGGGCTGTAGTCTGAATTTGAAACTATCCTGGGCTACATGAGCATCTCAAAAACAAAACAGAAAGATCTGATATGGAAATGTCTGAAGATACACCTTCTTATAAGTGAAAGAATCATTTCACACTCTGTAATCTACCAAGTAGAAGACTGAGGAGACTTGGGGGTGGGGGCAGTGTCTGGGTTCAGGGGGAGGGGT